CCAAAACACCAATAACAGACAAACAGAGAGCCAAATCATGAGTGAACTCCCATTCACAATTGCTACAAAGAGAATAAAATAGGAATCCAACTTACATGGGATGTGAAGGATCTCTTCAAGGAGAACTACAAACCACTGCTCAATGAAATAAAGGAGGACACAAACAAATGGAAGAACATTCCATGCTCATGGATATGAAGAATCAATATTGTGAAAATGTCCATGCTGCCCAAAGTAATTTATAGATTCAATACCATCCCCATCAAGCTACCAATGACTTTCTTCCAGAATTGGAAAAAACTAAAGTTCATATGAAACCAAAAAGAGCCTGTATTGCCAAGATAATCCTAAGCAAAAAGAACAAAGCTGGAGGCATCACTCTACCTGACTTCAAACTATACTACAAGGCTACAGTAACTAACACAGCACGGTACTGGTACCAAAACAGATATATTGACCAACGGAACAGAACAGAGGCCTCTGAAATAACACCACACATCTACAACCATCTGATCTTTGACACACCTGACAAAAACAAGAAATGGGGAAAGGATTCCCTATTTAATAAAGGGTACTGGGAAACCTGGCCAGCCACATGTAGAAAGCTGAAACTGGATCCCTTCCTTACACCTTATACAAAAATTAACTCAAGATCGATTAAAGACTTAAATGTTAGACCTAAAACCATAAAAACACTAGAAGAAAATCTAGGCAATACCATTCAGGACACAGGCATGGGCAAGGACTTCATGAATACAACACCAAAAGCAATGGCAACAAAAGCCAAAATAGACAAGTGGGATCTAATTAAACTAAAGAGCTTCTGCACAGCAAAAGAAACTGCCATCAGAGTGAACAGGCAACCTACAGAATGGGAGAAAATGTTTGCAATCTACTCATCTGACAAAGGGCCAATATCCAGAATCTACAAAGAACTTAAACAAATTTACAAGAAAAAAACAACCCCATCAAAAAGTGGGCAAAGGATATGAACAGACACTTCTCAGAAGAAGACATTTATGCAGGCAACAGACATATGAAAAAATGCTCACCATCACTGGTCATCAGAGAAATGCAAATCAAAACCACAATGAGATACCATCTCACACCAGTTAGAATGGCAATCATTAAAAAGTCAGGAAACAACAGGTGCTGGAGAGGGTGTGGAGAAGTAGAAACACTTTTACACTGTTGGTGGGAGTGTAAGTTAGATCAACCATTGTGAAAGACAGTGTGGCGATTCCTCAAGGATCTAGAACTAGAAATACCATTTGATCCAGCCATCCCATTACTGGGGATATACCCAAAGGATTATAAATCATGCTACTATAAAGACACATGCACACGTATGTTTATTGTGGCACTATTCACAATAGCAAACACTTGGAACTAACCCAAATGTCCATCAATGATAGATCATATTAAGAAAATGTGGCACATAAACACCATGGAATACTATGCAGTCAAAAAACGATGAGTTCATGTCCTTTGCAGGGACATGGATGAAGCTGGAAACCATCATTCTGAGCAAGCTATCACAAGGACAGAAAAACCAAACACTGCATGTTCTCAATCATAGGTGGGAATTGAACAATGAGAACACTTGGACACAGGGCAGGGAACATCACACCCCAGAGCCTGTCGTGGAGTGGGGGGATGGGGGAGGGATAGCATTAGGAGAAATACCTAATGTAAATGACAAGTTAATGGGTGGAGCAAACCAACATGGTACATGTATACCTATGTAACAAACCTGCACATTGTACATATGTACCCTAAAACTTAAAGTATACTAATAAAAACGAAATGTTACTATCAGCCAGGCATGGTGGCTCACACCTGTAGTCCCAGCACTTTGGGAAGCCAAGGTGGGCCAATCACCTGAGGTCAAGAGTTCAAGACCAGCCTGGCCAACATGGAAAAACCCCATCTTTACTAAAAATACAAAAATGAGCCAGGCGTGGTGGCATGAACCTGTAGTCCCAGGCACTTGGGAGGGTGAGGCAGGAACATCACTTGAACCTGGAAGGCAGAAGTTCCAGTGAGCCAAGATCGAGCTACTGCACTCCAGCTTGGATGACAGAGCAAGACTCCCTCTCAAAAAAAAAAAAAAAAAAAAAAATTAATACCAAAAAAATTATATTAAATCTCAAATGCTATGATCCCCAAGTCAACTTAAGCCTAGCCTACCTTCCTGTACCCCAGTGGTCCCTAAACTACAACCTCAGCTCTGTTATTACACCCACAGCTCACCCAGGGCTGACACCAAAGCAGGAATTGAGAAGGAAGAAGCTCTAGAGGAAAGGGGTGGAGGGTTTCAAGAGATTCCCCAAGTTGGCAGTCTCAGCACCATGTCAGTTATGGACTCTGAAGGCCTGAGTTTGGAACCTTCTGCAGGGTGGGACCTACAACCTCCTCCCCACCCCAAGGTAACACCCTTGGAGAAATCACTACCGTTATCCCTACCCTGGTCTTACCTCCTCTTCCTGCTGCCCACTCCTAAATATGGAGGCAGTGCCAAGGGAAGCCCTCTCCCTTGGCACCCCACATTTGTGGATAAGCTTTCAAAGGCTCAGCTTTTCTAGAATTCAGCACGTTTTGTCTTTCCCAGCCAGGGGAAGGAAAACTGTCCAGTCATGGTCACTGCTGTCTCCAGCCTTGGCAATACATCCTACCCAGCATAATGTGAACCCGGAATCAATTCCCTGATGCTTGAAGGTTTCATTCAGAATGCATCATCTAAAACAGACCCAGGAGGCTCGAGGTAACTCCGCAAGGGATTTCAAAGTTACTCCACCTGGAGTCTCAACCATTCCCAGGAATCATAGCCCCATTCTCTGAAAATGCAGAAACCTGCTTTGCCAGCACTTTTGTCTACATCCAGGGAGAGAGTCCTAACTGGATTATCCCCAAGCCTTCCTAGATCCTGCAGGGGAGAACCATTAGAGGCGAACAGCTCCCAGCCCTCCCTGACTTCCATGCCTGAGAGAGCGAGCAGCCCACCGGGAGCCAGGCGGCAGCAATCTTGGGCAGGAACTTCATAAAGGGATGGAGTTTCTTTGCCAGGACTCAGAGAACAAGGCGGACTAATCCTACTCCTGCTTGTCTCATGAGCACCATGGGAAGGCCAATGAGGTGACAAGTCCTGTCTTAGCACCATTCATAGCACTGCTCTCCCATTCTGGGACTGGGGGGTCGGGGGTGATCCCCAGAGTGCTCGTAAATCTATTGTCTAAATTGCGACATCTTGGAGAGCTAAAGGGGACACTATTTAGTTATGCCATGACAATAGGTGTTAAACAGGACTATCCCAGGCAAACTAGGATGTGTGGACACCCTAGAGAACATCTTCCAGCCCTGTCACCAGGGTAGGGGCCTGCTGCTAGAGCAGTTAGTTCCCTGCCCTGCCCCAGAATGTATGCCCCTGAAGAAGGTCTACTTCCCTAATCAAGCCAGGACCTCACTCAACAAGCTCCCTTGGCATCCCAAGAAAAGAAAAGGAAACTCTCACAGGCACCACAAAAATGTGGACAAGGCCTTATTTGTCTGTTCAACACAGGATGCCCTGGGCCAAGAATAGTACTTGTAGTACTAGCAGGTAGCATCTGCTCAATAAATGTTTGTTGAATGAGTGAGTGAATGCCCAAAGTCTCTAACATCATCGAGAGAACTCTAGGAAAACGGACTTGGCCATCTAGTAACACATAAAAGGGTTTGAACTCTAAACTTATAAAAATTTAAGGCACTGTGGTGGGCCGCGGTGGCTCACGCCTGTAATCCCAGCATTTTGGGAGGCTGAGGCGGGCAGAGCACAAGGTCAGGAGATCGAGACCATCCTGGCTAACATGGTGAAACCCCGTCTCTACTAAAAATACAAAAAATTAGCCGGGCGTGGTGGCGGGCACCTGCAGTCCCAGTTACTCGGGAGACTGAGGCAAGAGAATGGCATGAACCTGGGAAGCAGAGCTTTCAGTGAGCCAAGATCGTGCCACTGCACTCCAGCCTGGGTGACAGGGCAAGACTCCGTCTCAAAAATAAAAAAAAGAAAAAAGAAAAAAGAAATCTAAGGCATTGTATAGACTGCCATGCCTTTCCCTTTGGGGGAGTTTATAAATATGAAATGTACACAGCTTTAAAATGCCAGATTGAACTGAAACTATGAACTTCTACAATAAACTAATAGAAAACAAATTATTTTTAAGCCACTGCTGAACTTCAAATAAACTGGAACTATTTCCTGCAATATCTCTCGTACAAACTCATTCAAAACTTTGTTGGCAAAATTGGGACTGCATCTAGCAAGTGCTTGCTCTACACATCAGGATTCCTCTAACCCCAGTCTCACTGTGTGTAGGTTCCCTGAGAAACAGGTGCCTGGGGAGAGCTAGATTTGCAGGAGACTTAGTGGGGGAAATGGCTGGGAAGAATAAAGGAGAAGGAACAGGAGAAGGCAAGGCGGGCCTTCACACCACAGTGCAAGATGGACACCTATGAAAACAGAGGGGGAAGGAAGGAGGACTGGATAGAAGAACCTCAGACGCAGCGCAGTTCTAAGGAAGTTTCAGACAGGTTGATGGGGGGTCCTGGAGCTAAAGTTGTCCAGTAGAGAAGTCCCACATTCCAAAGAATGGGCCAGCACTGGTGCCCCACCATGTTCAGTCACTGGCTGGAAGAAAGTATGGCCTCAGCACAAACAGGGTGGTGGAACCAGAGGGGTGGCAGCTGGGCTCTTACTCCACTGTGCTCCCGCGGCAGGAGTTCTAAGCAGCACGTGTTCAGGGCTACTGCACACTATGTTTGAAACAATATTGTCCCTGGAATGACCCTTTTCAGTGAATCCAAATAGGCTCTTTGAAATCATGCCATCTGTCAGCTGAATACTCACAGTAGATAACACATAAGCTAGCTCACCACCACCATGGTTTTCTCCCAAGTGCTGGAACTTTTCATCCCTACCAGCCAAGATAAAATTTTCTCATAGAACACAATCAGTGACATTGTTATTCAGAAAATAAAAGCATTATTTTGTTTTATTATTCCCAAAGAATCAAGCCCGTCATGAGCAGCCCACATGGTTGCTGTTCAAAGGTACTGAAAAGGGAGGCATTTAGTCACCATTATCCATCAAGAAACTCTTTACAAGGATAGGTTCCAAGTCGTTCGTGCTGCTCTTGGTCATTCAGTGACTGCAGTTTTGGCCCAGAAGCCATCCAAATGAGCAAGTGCTGAGCCATCCTCAACTCATACCCAGATGAAACAACTTGCGCAGAATTGCTGGTCCGCCCCAGTAACCCCTGTAAGAAATAACACAAAAAAATGTACTTGCAGCAAGAGAGATGGGGCGACTTCAGTCAGGAGGATGCTGAAAGGGAAGCCGGGCTGCACACAGAGCACGTTTATCAGCACATGAAGCAAGATTGTCTAGTGAGTTGGAAAGATCCCATGACTAGTAGGGGACAACCTACTTTCAGTCCTAGCTTTGACACTGACTTGCTGTGTGAGCCTGGACGTGCTGACTCAATTTGGCAAACGTGTCTAAAGCCTCTACTACATGCAAGCTGCTACTCTTTCTGCTTTCCAACAGCTCATAATTAACTGTAGGTCAGCATTTCACAATCTCCGCCCTATTGACATTTTGGACCAGATAATTCTCTGCTGTTGGGGGCTGACGGGGCATTATAGGATGTTTAGCAGTATCCCTGGCCTCTGCTCACTAGAAGCACCCCTCCAGTTGTAACAACCAAAAAACGTCTCCGGAAATTATCAAATGTCCCCAGGGCAGCAAGGGATAGGAAGATCACTCTTGGTTCAGGACCACTGGTGTAGACACCTTGATTTCTCTCTCATATGAGTTTGGAAAAGTAAAATGAGGTCATCAGCTTTTAGAATGAAGAGTGGCTGGGTGCACTGGGAGGCTGAGGCAGGTGGATCATTTGAGGCCAGGAGTTTGAGACCAGCCTGGCCAACATGGCAAAACGCTTTCTCTACTAAAAATACAAAAATTAGCTGGGCGTGGTGGCGCATTCCTGTAATCCCAGCTACTTGAGAGGCTGAGGCAGGAGAATCATTTGAACCCAGGAGGTAGAGGTTGCAGTGAGCTGAGATCGCACCACTGCACTCCAGCCTGGGTGACAGGGCAACACCTTGCCTTAAAAAAAAAAAAATGAAGAAGAGGAATTTTTATTCCTCTGTTTACTTATTGAATCCCTACTATGTACCTGCCTCTTTATGTGTTATCTCATTAACCTCCATCTTGTGAGGTAGGCAATGTTACTTTCATTTTGCAGATGAGAAATGTAAACAAAGAGAGTGTTTAAATTAAATTAAAGAGAACTTTCCCTGGGACAACAGCTATGTATGTCCTGCTAACAGCATGACACTGCTGATGACTTCTGTCATGCTAATGACAGAAGTATGACTCAAATACAGGTCTAACTCCAAAGTCTGTGCTCTTACTGTTTGGTTTTTCCTATAACATAATAAAAACAAAGGTAAGGGACCGGGCGTGGTGGCTCACGCCTGTAATCCCAACACTTTGGGAGGCCGAGGTGGGTGGCTCACTTGAGATCAGGAGTTTGAGACCAGCCTGGCCAACATGGTGAAACCCCGTCTCTACTAAAAATACAAAAATTAGCCAGGCATGGTGGCAGGCACCTGTAATCCCAGCTACTCAGGAGGCTGAGGCAGGAAAATTGCATGAACCCCAGAAGTGGAGGTGACAGTGAGCCAAGATCGTGCCACTGCACTCCAACCTGAGCAACAGAGCAAGACTCCATCTCAAAAAAAAAAAAAAAAGTAAGGTAGCAGATGACAGAGTACTTGATATGTGAAAGTGATTTACTATTATTATTTATCCTGCAGCAAAAGAGGGCCTAGAGTATGGAAGACAGAACACTTGGTCACTGCTAACAATGAAGAAAAGAGGCTACATCCCGTGCGGGTGGAGATGTGCTATAAATCCCTTTCCTCATCCAGGAACCAGACAGCACACTTACCTTAGCATCATATTCCAATACAGGAAGGGCATCAGGTCAGCTTTCATGACATACATGGAAAGGCGCTCTTTGCTTTGATCAAAGGGGAAGGTTTCTAGCGGCTCTGCTTTGTAGTCAAACTCGGCAAGAATCACACGGTTGTAGCCGGTCACCAGTGGACATGATGTGTAGCCATCATACTAAAATTGTAAATCAGACTGAGTTGGAAAGTAGATTTTTTTTCATGGTCCTATATGAACACTTTAGAATTTATTATTTGCTATGAGTGATTATGTATTTTTTTCTTTTCTGTATATTCTTTTTGTACTGTGAAAAATGCAAATTATATTACAAAAAAAATAGTACTAATGGCAAAAACAGTAGTACCCACACTGGAGACACTAATCAAGAAAGTGCAAAACTGTGGGAAAACATGACTTTCACACAGAATGGAAGATGCTCATTGAGACAATGATTCTTATAAGGCATACAAACCTTCTTTGTTGGTGTTTGATTCTTCATAATCAGAGAAATTGTTCTATCAAGTATTCCTGACTGGGCAGCTATAAGAGAAATGGGAAAGTCGGAAAAATGTAAGCATCTAGGTTTTCCATGAAAACTAATTTGCAAATAACTTTAATGTAAACAAGTTAAGAAGATTCCATTTCCCATCCCTCGAAACGGTGACTAGAACATGAGCTTCTTACTAATTGAAATTGACTACCAGAGGGGATTCTTTAATTCGTGAAAGGCCTGCACATGTGTTTCCATGGGTTTGAAACTAAAGAGCCGACTCTCTCCAGTGTGGCTATAAGGATGGACCTACCCCAAAACCACTGCCTCTCCTCCTGCGGTTGAGGCTGTCAATTTAGTCTGTGTGTCAATTTAGTCAGTGTTCTTGGCCATGCGGGTTATCCCTGTGTCCCCGTTCACAGGCAGTCTGGATTGGTAGCCCCCAGGCATTTCCAGTAAGACAAAGCATGCCTTCCTCTCTCCTGCACTGTCCTGGCTGAGGCAGGACCAGGTGGATATAGATATACATATAGAGATATACCTGTATTTCCATCTCTCTGTCTCTTTCCTAGATAACCAGATGGACACAGACAGATACATACATACATACATCAGGATTTTTTTGTTTTGTTTTTCTTTGGCAAGAGTGGGGAGACTGCCTTTTTTATTAGGAAAAACTTCAAATTCCATCATTTTGTTTAATCCATCTCATCACACATGCTATTTTTTTTCCTGCTGTATTTTTAGAGCAGATATCACATCAATTCACTCATAAATCTTCCTGTCTGTATCTCTCTGATGGGGAATTTTCTTCACACAAACCCACAGTATTTTCACACCCCAAATATTAGTAATAGTTTCTTCATATAATCTAAACCCAGTTTGTGTTCAATTTTGAATAATTAAGACTGCCCAGATGGGCACTTAACTGCCCAGATGGCTCATGCCTGTAATCCCAACACTTTGGGAGGCCGAGGAAAGTGGATCATTTGAGGTCAGGAGTTCAAGACCAACCTGGCCAATATAATGAAACCCCATCTCTACTAAAAATACAAAAATTAGTCAGGTATGATGGTACATGCCTGTAATCCCAGCTACTCAGGAGGCTGAGGCAGGAGAATTGCGTGAACCCAGGAGGTGGAGGTTGCAGGGAGCTGAGATCGTACCACTGCACTCCACCCTTGGCGATAAAGTGAGACATCATCTCAGAAAAAAAATAAAAAGACTGACCTTTTAAGGAGACAGCAGTTTGTGGCCGAGCATGGTGGCTTATGCCTGTAATCTCAGCAGTTTGGGGGACCAAGGTGTGCAGATCACTTGAGGCCAGGACTTTGAGACCAGCCTGGCCAACATGGTGAAACCTGTCTCTACTAAAAATACACAAAATTAGCCAGGCATGGTGCTGCTCCTGCAATTCCAGCTACTCAGGAGGCTGAGGCACAATAATTGCTTGAATTCAGAGGCAGAGGTTGCAATGAACTGAGATCGCACCACTGCACTCCAGCCTGCATGAGGGAGTGAGACTCTGTCTCAAAAATAAAATAAAGATACAGCAGTTTGTGTCTCTAGAAGTAGAACATGGGATTCACTTTTGAGGAAAGATGGGTTACCTTTGTATTATAAAATGCTTATTGGAGTGGTTATTTTGTAATCTCCCAAATCAGGGGTTAGCAAACTTTTTCTGTAAGGAAAAATTGCAGGCCTTGTGGGCCAATGGCAAATCAAAGATATTATGTAATGACAAAAAACAAAATTTCCACTATACAAAAACAGGCAGTGGACTGCACTGGCCCATAAACTATAGTTTGCTAATGCCCAAATCGAAGAAGCAATGATATTTTTTCTGGAATGGGTGGGGGTCAAAAAAATGAAGAGTGAACAACTCTGCTTAAAAATATTAAATAAGGCTGGGCATGGTGGCTCACACCTGTAATCCCAGCACTTTGGGAGGCTGAGGTGGGTGGATCACTTGAGTTCAGGAGTTCAAGAACAGCCTGACCAATGTGGTAAAACCACATCTCTACAAAAAATAGAAAAATTAGCCAGGTCTGGTGGCAGGTGCCTGTAATCCCAGCTGCTCAGGAGGCTAAGGCAAGAGAATTGCTTGAACCCAGGAGGCAGAGGTTGCAGTGACCCAAGATCATGACACTGCACTCCAGCCTGGGCAACAAAGCAAGACTCCATCTAAAAATATATATATATTAAATGAGGCCAAGCGTGGTGGTTAATGCCTATAATCCCAACATTTTGGGAGGCCAAGGCAGAAGGATTGCTTGAGCCCAGGAGTTTGAGACCAGCCTGGGCAATATAGGGAGACCCTATCTCTACAGATATTTTAAAAATTAGCTGGGTATGGTGACACATGCCTACAGTTCCAGCTACTTGGGGGTGTTGAAGTGGAGGGATCACTCGAGCGCAAGAGGTCAAGGCTGCAGTGAGCCATGATTGCTCCACTACACTCCACCCTGAGCAAAAGAGCGAGACCCTGTCTCTAAAAAAAGAAAAAAAATGAAATGGCTATATTCACTGTGGGCAAAGCAACATCTCTAAAGATCATATTTCCCTTTTGGAAAACTGTGTTCCTCTTTGAGGGCCATAAAGAGTTTGGAATCTGAACTGAGAACACCTGAGGAGGCCACAGCAGCAGGACATCAAGGCCAACAGAAAAGGAGCAGAGACATCCACTGGGTGCCACTGCAGACAGGTGAGGCCTGTGAAGCCAGGCAGCAGTCACTCAACATCTAGGCTTAAAGCGTGCATGGGTGCAGGTGTGCGGGAGCTGGGTTTTGACCTGTATTACAATCCCCTTCTATCATGCCCAGGCCTTCAGTTAACTTTGGTTAAATGCCACATCCTGATCTCAGCTGTGTTGAGAGTGATTAAAGGAGCATCCTGGGGCAGAGAGAAGCAGAGAAGGGGACATGAGCTCAGGAAAGCCAGATTCAACATGGCAAGATGGGTCTTGCTCACAACAGCGTAGGGGTCTGGACGGAGGCTTGGTGGCAAGTAAACCCAAGGACAGATTTGTGGAAAAAGTGTGGCATTGCCTTGGGATACTCAGAGGATTTGGGGAAGGGAATCTAAGAAGAAATGAAGATCTGCTTGGGAAAAGCTAGTACTATTGTAATTTGGGCATTGAAGAGAAGAGTAAACAGACTTTTACACAGGTGAACTATTAGGTTGGTGCAAAAGTAATTGCGGTTAATGGCATTACGCTTAATGGCAAAAACTGCAATTACTTTTGCACCAACCTAAATAACAGGTAAAGAGCACTCATTATGGTACTGTTTGAATAAAAATGGGTTGGACACAATCCAGATATAATTAAGAGTGGACTCATTATATAAGCTCTAGAGCAACCATAGAATAGGCTGCAGATTGTAAGACACAAATGTAAAAACAATGGGGACAAGCCCTCTGTGGTTGGGGGACCGTGGAAGCCACGCAGATGCACTGCAGGACTGGGAGCAAAAGACTTTCCACTTAGAATATTTTTGTTCAGTCATATTCAGTCTTATCTATCTGGAACATCGAGTTAAATATTTGTTTGAAGAAGGCTAAAAGCTGGGTAATCTGGGCCTCATATCACAGGTAGTTTCACCACATAAATTCAGCAGGCTTACATTAAATGAATGTCATTTCAAAGTATCACCCCACAGACTACCTATAAATTACAAAGAGAGAGAGTACTTTTACAATGAAAGAGAGAGAGAGAGAGAGAGAGAGAGAGAGAGAACACCCCTTAACCCAGTGAGAAAGTCAAGCTTCACCAAAGACAAGACAAACTAACATGACAGGCTCCTGAGGTGCTGCAGAGGGAGGTATACAGCCTCAGGCACGGAGATTTTTGCCAAAACATATAACCCGAATCGAACCATAAGAAAGCAACTAGACAATTCTAAATTGTGGGGTATTCTACAAGGTAACTGGCCTGGAATCTTCAAAAATGTCAATGTCATGAAAGTAAAGAAACAAATGTCAGAAGGCCTGCTGTATATTAAAGGGGACCAAAGAGGCATTTCGCCCAATGCAGTGTGTGATCCTTGACTGGCTGGTGGATTTAAGGAGGGGCTGGGATGACAAAGGACATCTTTAGGAAAATATACATAAATACAGGCTGGGTGCCGTGGCTCACACCTATAATCCTAGCACTTTGGGAGGCCAAGGGGGACAGATCACCTGACTCCAGGAGTTTGAGACCAGCCTGGCCAAGTTGGTGAAACCCCATCTCTACTAAAAATACAAAAACTAGCCAGGTGTGGTGGTGGGTGCCTGTAATCTCAGCTACTTGGGAGGCTGAGGAAGGAGAATAGCTTGAACCTGGGAGACAGAGGTTGCAGTGAGCTAAGACTGTGCCACTGCACTCCAGCCCAGGCAACAAGAGTGAAATTCTGTCCCCCCACCAAAAAAAATATATATATATACACACACACACATTATATATATATACATAATATAAATAATATACATATATACATAAATATGATGAAGCAAATGTCACAAAATATTAATAATTGGTTAATACCTGAAAGGTATATGAGTATTATAATTTATTTCAAATTTGTATAGGTTTGAGATTTTTTTAAATAAAAAGTTGGGAGGAAGTTAACATGAATAATGAAAAAGACATTCAGTGAGTTTCCTAGATAGTCTACCTTGAGGTTGAAATAGTCAGCAAAAGCACCACAATCTATTCCACAGGTGTCTCATTCACAGAAAACACTACTGTACTGGAGGTCTTGTGTTTTATAGCATCCAGAAAAGACAGTCCTGTCAGTAGAGGACAGAATCTAAAAGGCAATTCTCCCCATCACTGCTGGTGCAGAACATCGAGGTGAAGAATTTAGTTTTCCAGGCTGAGGCCTTAATCATGTACTACTCAGGACATGCTCCACTGTATTTGTCTTAACAGGACAATTTTCTGGTCTGCAAGTTTCATTGACTTGCATGTGTTTTCTGGGAAAACAAATGCTTCCCGAGCTTTATGGTGTTTCAGGCAGAAGAAAAATAGCCAACCTGCCGGGTGGCAGAGGCAAAGAATACCAGGGATGCCAGTATGGCAGTATGAGAAGTAACAGAATTCAAGAGAGCTGGAAAAGTGATGCACTCCCTCTAAGTCCCCTTCTTCTGACAACAACCCCTCTGACCTAGAAAAGGTAGATAAGATCATGCTATTCTGGGGCAAAACACTCAAAAGGCACTTTTTCTTTCTATGACACTGGGTTCGTTGACAACTTGCTTCTGTCTTAGGAAGGTCAAAGTCATTTTTAGGACACAGAACTTTCTTCATTATTTGGAATGCTGTTGGTGCCAAGTCTTTTTTTTTTTTTGAGATGAAGCCTTGCTCTGTCATCCAGGCTGGAATGCAGTGGTGCGATCTTGGTTCACTGCAACCTCCACCTCCCAGATTCAAGCAATCTTCTGCCTCAGCCTCCTGAGTAGCTGGGATTGCAGGCGCCTGCCACATGCCTGACTAATTTTTGTATTTTTAGTAGAGATGGGGTTGCACCATGTTGGCCAGGCTGGTCTCAAACTCCTGGCCTCAAACGACCTGCCTGCCTGAGCATCCCAAAGTGCTGGGATTATAGGCAGGAACCACCATCTCTGGTCGATGCCAAGTTTTTGTTTTTGTTACAGTAGTGCCTCAAGGTGACATCTTTTTGAGAAAGAGAGAAATAGAGCTGGTTATTTTACCTACTGCAGCAGCGGTCTTTGACGTAGGAAGGTTGGTGCAGTCCCCAATCCCAAACACATTTGGGTACCTCTTGTGTTGCAGAGTTTCTTTATCCACATCCACCCAACCAGCAGCATCAGCCACAGGACTGGTCTTGAGGACATCTGGTGGACCCATTGGTGGTGTGACATGAAGCATTTCATACTACACACAAGGAGAGAATTCACATTTTCATTTATTCAATATTTCCACAGCTCCACAAGCTCTCCCCTGACCTTCCTTACTCCATACACTGCGCTATGGCTGCACGAAGCATTATACAATCAGCACTTGTATCAGTCCACACCCTCTCCAAGATCTTATGTGTTCTCCTGGGGGATGGTGATAAGCTAAATAACCATTCTCTCAGTTGACATGATCTCCCCTTACAGAGACCAAGAGATCCCTGTGGCCACACACATAGGGGTACATGAGATATTGGAGTAAAGCTTACTAATAACTCTGAAAGAATCCACTGATGTTTTTATTAATACTAAAATAAAGGGGTGGTATATTTCAGTTGCAGTCTCTCTGACCCTCAGCTGTCAACTTGTAAAGTTTAGCACCTCAGTGTTATTCTGTAAGGTGATGCTCAGCGTCCATTAAACTTGTAAAGGACGTGTTAGGAGCTGGTAAGAAAGCATCATTCCCAAATATGTGTCAACTTCAAAACACATAAAGGAAACTGTCAGAACACCAATTTAAGATGAAAAGGGGTGGTAAAAATATTAGCTAGCTCTTTGGAAAAGGAGCCAGGGGTCTGATTCAGTACTGAATTTACTTCTCAGTGCAGAAGGCAGAGGTGAATTTTTTTCCAAAACACCGTTATCAAAGCTACCCTTGGTAGTGGTGCACTGACCCATCCTAATCACTTTTCAGGGTTCATTTAATTTTTTTGTTTATGTAATATTCTTTCACATTTTGTAGTTGGTTCTTATTATGCTTTTTATTTATTTTTAACAAACTCCATCCAGCAACTTCATCAATTTGCTAGTGGGTGCAGTTAAGGACACACTGATTGAAATGTTCACGACATGTCATTAGGGTAAAAATGTAAGCGTTTCAAGACAATTCCAACCTTGTGAGATAGTCAATAGCCTTCCATTTCCATAAGGAGTCCAATGGTCCCATGCCCTCAGAAAGGCTCAGCAGTCACTGATGGCAATGGGAATTAGGAAGATGACTTGTACTTATTACAACTCTCAGACAAATATAAGCTTAATTAACCTCAGGGAAGGAGCACTGCAAATGGCTGCTGCTCGTCTGCAGGATAATCTTGGGTGGAGGGTGGCTCTTGGGGACATGGGTCCCTGAGGCCAGGTCTGTTAATGAACATTAAAACTGAATGCATGTTTGCAGGATAATGGATGAAATGTCAACAACTATCATCCACCAAATTATTAATGCCCTGTCTGCATTTCTGCAGTCAACTAGAACTACTTTTGAGACAGTGTTTCATTCTGTTGCCAGACTGGAGGGGAGTGGCTTGATCATAGCTCACCATAACCTCTAACTACTGGGCTCAAGCAATCCTCCTGCCTCAGCCTCCTAAATACCTGGGACTACAGGCATGTACCACCACATCCAGCTAGTTTGTTGTTGTTGTTGTTGTTGTTGTTGTTGTTGTTGTTGTTTTTCTTTTAGTAGAGACTGAGTCTTGCTGTGTTGCCCAGGCTGGTCTCGAACTCCTGGGCTCAAGCAACCCACCTGTCTCAGCCTCTCAAAGTGCTGGGATTACAGATGCAAGCTACCATACCTGACCTAGAACTACATTTCTGAACTGAGGTCTAAACCTTACTAGCGTCATCTTGGTGGAGTTAATGTGTTTGAATTTCACAAGTACACATAAATTCCACACCTCTTTTCTAAAAGAAAAGCTAAATACTTTCACATAATCATCATAAAGGTATGGAGTTTGACCTAACACTCTACAAAAGAAGAAATACTAGGGTCTACTTTATGGATTTATTAGAAATTAATGGCCAGGTGCAGTGGCTCATGCCTGTAATCCCAACACTTTGGAGGCCAAGGTGGCCAGATGGCTTGAGCTCAGGAGTTCGAGACCAGCCTAGGTAATGTAGTGAAACCCCTCTCTACCAAAAATACAAAAAGTTAGCTGGGCGCGGTAGTACATGCCTGTTGTCCCAGCTCCTCAGGAGGTTGAGATAGGAGGATGGCTTGCTTGAGGCCGGGAGGTGGGGATCGTAGTGAGCCAAGATCACACCACTACACTCCAGCCTGGGTGACAGAGCAAGATCCTGCCTCCAAAAGAAAAAAAAAGAAAGAAAAAGAAATTAACACTGGGTCGGGTGTGGTGACTCACACCTGTAATTCCAACACTTTGGGAGGCCAAGGCAGGCAGATCACTTGAGCCCAGGAGTTTGAGACCAGCCTTGGCAACATAGTAAAACCCAGTCTTTACAAAAAATACAAAAATTACCCGTGCATGGTGGTGCATGCCTATAGACCCAGCTACTCAGGAGGCTGAGGTAGGAGGATTGCCTGAGCCTGGGAAGTAGAGGCTGCAGTGAGCCATGAGCCATGGTTGTCCACTGCACTCCAACCTGGGTGACAGAGTGAGACCCTGTCTCAAAAAGAGAGAGAGAGAGAGAGAGAGAGAGAGAGAGAGAGAGAGAAAGAAAGAAGAAAGAAAGAAGAAAGAAAGAAAGAAAGAAAGAAAGAAAGAAAGAAAGAAAGAAAGAAAGAAAGAAAGAAAGAAAAGAAAGAAAGAAAGAAAGGGAAAGAAAGAAAGAGAGAGAGAGAAAGAAAGAGAAAGAAAGAAAGAAAGAAAGAAAGAAAGAAAGAAAGAAAGAAAGAAAGAAAGAAAGAAAGAAAGAAAGAAAGAAAGAAAGAAAGAAAGAGAAAGAAAGGAAGGAAGGAACAAAGAGAAAGAAAGAAGGGAGGGAGGGAGGGAAACAAACATTGGCACTTAGTTGTAACTTGTTCATTATCCATCATTTATTTCTGTAACTATATAGGATAAATAACTTGGTTCTCCTTTGTTAACATACATAGTCCATTCAGTGTGGTGGTTTTCAAACTTTAATGTTTATTAGCAGCATTTGGGAGACTTGTGGAAAATACAGGTTCCCAGGCTGTACCATGCCGAGATCCCAATCTAGTAGATCTGGGTAAAGCACAAGAATCTATACTTTAACAAAATCTGCTAGTGATTCTGACATGTAAAATCTGTGGATCACATTCCTACAATCTCGAAGGAACAGGTTCATTTACAAAGAAAAATAGAATGCTATTACTTGGACAAGTCACTTCACCTCTTTGGTCTTTAATTTGCTTATCCATAAAGAAATGTACTAGACTAGACAATCTCCAAAGTCTCTTCTAGTTCTTGGACTCTGTGGTGTAAAACAAGTTTAGATTTGTTTAAACTTAGGGGACTGGGATCAATTCACAAGTTCTCTAATAAAGATTCAAAATTATAAACTTTGGGTTACATTTACTTTTTTTTTTTTTTTTTTTTTTTTTTGAGACTGAGCTTCCATCTGTCACCCAGGCTGGAGTGCAGTTGCACAATCTCAGCTCACTGCAACCTCCGCCTCCCGGGTTCAAGCAATTCTCTGCCTCAGCCTCCCGAGTAGCTGGGATTACAGGCTCCCGCCACCACACCCGGCTAATTTTTGTATTTTCAGTAGAGACAGGGTTTCACCATCTTGGCCAGGCTGGTCTTAAAACTCCTGACCTTGTGATCCACCTGCCTGGGCCTCCCAAAGTGCTGGGATTACAGACGTGAGCCACCACACCTGGCACAATTCTTTCCATCAGTTGTTCTCAATCCTGGTTGAACATGAGAGTCATTAGGGGAATTTTTGAAATTTCCCATCCTCAATCTGTACCCCAAACCAATTAACTAAAACCTCTGGTAGGGAGACCAGGCATCAGCACATTTTAAAAGCTCCCTAATGTGTAGCCAGGGTTAAGAGCCACAGCTTTAAATCCTTCTGGTGGATTTTTTGAAATTCAGATTTTAAGAGTGGAACTAACTGTCTGACCTGAAATCCTATAATTCAAAAGGGACACAAATATCTTCTTTCATTACAAACTCTTTAGAAGAATAATAACCATTCATTTATCCACACCCCTACCTATAACCTCAGCTATCCAGAGGACAGTTGAGAACCAAAGTACTGACAAAATTAAGTTCATGCACTCAAGTTCATACACTTTGCTCATAAAAACTTGCTTCGGGCTCTCACTCATAGCCCATTTTAGTGAAAGCCCAACTTGGGCTCACTCAAATGGGCTCCTTTGTGAAGTAAAACTGAGCTCACTCATATGAGCTCTCACTCACAGCCCATTTGAGTGAGCCCATTTGAGGAGCAGCAATTTAAAAGAGCTAAAGCTGGAGGGACTGTCCAAAGTCACTTACAACTGCCTGACAGCCAGGAAGAAGGAAAACTACACAAAGGACACACATAAAAACAAACAGCAGTAATTTGAGACCCTTCCATAAAGTGATAACTAGCTCCAAACATTCCGGTAGCCTCTTTGTGCATAACTACACAGGAGCTATTCAAAACGATGACCCTGAGCTGCTGCAGAGAGCTGCTAGATGAGCCTGGGACAACCTGTGACACCAGAAAGTAAAGGAAGTGCCCAAACACATGATGGGGCACAAGAGCCAGCTGGAAGGGGCACCCACTGACCAAATCCAGAACAATTTGAGCACCAAAATAATTAAAAACAATAATGAATGATACACCATCGGAAAAAAATAGGAACCCATGAGTTCATAGCAATAGTAAATTAACTAAGAGAGAAGCAAAGACTCTTGCTGAAAGAATGCCAAGAGCTTGCTGGCAAATGTGCAGGAAATATTACGGTTAGAAAATCATCATTTTGCAACCACCCATAGTAAAGATTTGATTAGGCAAGGATCATCAATGGATGCTAACTCTAGTGGGGAGACTTGAACGAGTAGATCATTTGCATGGTTTTAAAGTGTCTTCCCACAGACTTCTTATTAGTAGCAAGGGAGAAAACAAATTGCAATTATTCAATGGAAAAACTGGACCACATCTTGTCTGCTGATCAAAATTAACATCACCAATGAAGGGCAGATGAACATTGTATGCTTGCAAATGTGATACCTTAGAAGGGCACAATGCTTTCGCGAATGTTCCAGTCTAAAAAACAGAGCCTGAGGCCGGACGCAATGGCTCATGCCTGTAATCCCAGCATCAGGAGGCCGAGAAGGCGGATGGCTTGCAATCAGGAGTTTGAGACCAGCCTGGCCAACATGGTGAAACCCTGTCACTACCAAAAATAAAAATAAAAAAATTAGCCAGGCATGGTGGTGCACACCTGTAGTCCCAGCTACTCCTGAGGCTGAGGCAGGAGAATCACTTGAACCTGGGAAGCAGAGGCTGCAGTGAGCTGAGATTGTGCCACTGCACTCCAGCCTGGGTAACACAGCAAGACTTTGTCTCAAAAATAAATAAATAAATAGCAGAGCCTGAAACTAATCACAAGAAAACATAGACAAACCCAAAATGAGGAACATTCTACTGAAAGAAAAGCGGTGGCAAGAGGGCTGTATTATTTCAAAATATCAACATCATAGAAGACAAAGAAAAGCTATAGAAATGTCCCAGATTAAAGGAGGCTAAATAGACCTCACAATTGAATGCAGTACCTGACTGTAGCCTGAGTCCTGCACTGGAGGAAAAAATGCTATAAACACAGTTGGGCCACTCAACTAAACTGGAATACAAATAGTAAGTTAAAAACTTGTATCTGTGCTAAATTTACTGAGTTGATAATTGTACTGTGGTTATGTAAGAGAACACTCCTATTTTAGAAAATTAACACTAAAGTATTTGGGGCTAAAGAGACCTGATGCATGATATATGTAAATTTCCTTTGGAAAAACTAGATATGGATGGATGGATGGATGGATGGATGGATGGATGGATCGATGGATGGATGACAGAAAGATATAGATAGACAAAGACAGAAGAAAGAAAGAAAGAAAGAAAGAAAGAAAGAAAGAAAGAAAGAAAGAAAGAAAGAAAGAAAGAAAGAAAGAAAGAAAGAAAGAAAGAAAGAGAGAAAGAGAGAAAGAAAGAAAGAGAGAAAGAGAGAAAGAAAGAAAAAAGAGAGAAAGGAAGGAAGGAAGGAAGGAAATCAAATGATAAAGCTAAAGCAAATGGGGTAAAATTCTATAAGTGAATCTAGGTAAAAGCTACATACAATTTTCTTTGTACTATTTTTATTTTGCAGCTTCTCTAAGTGAGATTCTTTCTTTTTTTTTTTTTTTTTTTTTTTTTTTGAGATGGAGTCTCACTCTGTCGCCCAGGCTGGAGTGCGGTGGCACAATCTCGGCTCACTGCAGCCTCTGCCTCCTGGGTTCCAGCGATTCTCCTGCCTCAGCCTCCCGGGTAGCTGAGATTACAGGGACGTGCCACCACACCCAGCTAATTTTTGTATTTTTAGTAGAGATGGGGCTTCACCATGTTGGCCAGGCTGGTCTCGAACCCCTGACCACAAGTGATCCGCCTGCATCAGCCTCCCAAAGTGCTAGAATTATAAGCAAGAGCCACAGTGCCTGGCCTGAGATTATTTCCAACCAAAAGTTTTTTAAATTATGACCCTGAATCATCAGTAACATTTCAAGTGATATTTAGTACACTATTTTAAAAAGGAAAGATGTATCAATAAGTTTTAGGAAGAGCAGAGCTAAAAAGCTTAAAATTTGAAGTTTTGAAGTTTCAAAGAAGTCTAGTCTTTGGTTCACTTCAAAATTCCTTTTTATGGAACCCTTCATTTCTTGAAAACTTCTGAATGAATAAAATGTGACTCTGTAACATTTTCTCATCGCCAACAGCTTTTGCCAAAATGATGTAAACAAATATTCTTCCATGCATGCTTCTCCAGATGCTTTTACATCTTGTTCTTAACCTCATAACACCTCCAGAAAGTACTATTCCCGCTTCACAAAAGAAGAAACTCAGACACCAAGACCAACCCCATGCAACAAAGGCCAAATCTTTCCAAGAAGCATGGTAGCTCTGGCCAGATCCTTCAAGGGGAAATATTTTTATATTTTTAAAGATAGCCTCTTCCACAGGTGAAAGACATCCCTGTTGTTCTTTTTTCTTTTTTTTTTTTTTTGAAATGCAGTGTCGCTCTGTTGCCCAAGCTGGAGTGCAATAGCATGATCTCGGCTCACTGCAACCTCCACTTCCTGGCTTCAAGCGATTCTCCTGCCTCAACCTCCCCAGTAGCTGCGACTACAGGCACCCACCATCACGCCCAGCTAATTTTCATATTTTTAGTAGAAACAGGGTTTCACCATGTTGGCCAGCCTGGTCTCGAACTCCTGACTTCAAGTGATCCACCTGCCTTGGCCTTCCAAAGTGCTGGGATTACAGGCGTGGGCCACCATGCCCAGCCAATCCCTGTTTTCTTGAACTACCCACAGGGTTACTTCCTGCTCACAAGCAGGACTGTTTCTCACATGCTGCCAATTGAGACAATCACCAGGTCTTGCATGCGAGGAAGCCCTCCCTTACCTCTAAGCAGTAACCGAAGTTGTGGAATATTTTTGGCTACCTCAAGTCACTCGATGCCAGGAAAAGTTGAGTCAAAGGAATAGGACAAAAATTCCCTTGGCACCAGTTAAAAACACCTTCTCACCTCCCACTGACACAGCCTCTTACATCTTTCTCTTCCCCACCCATTTTGGCCTACTTTCTTGCCCTATCACTTCCCTAAGATGCTCATTTCACCCGGTCTTCCCCAGCACACAATGATGGCAGACAGGGTGGTGCGAGCCCCCATGTGTCTATGGCACGTTTCAGGAGACAACGCTGCAGACTGACAGCTTAGCCTCACCACTCACTGAAATCACTTGGGTCTCTCCAGGTTTGTCCAGGTTCTCAAATACAGCCTCTTGTTTATCGGCTCGGACTTCAATGAGGTTTTGCTTGTAGTTAACAGTGAGGTTCCGCTCCCGGATGATCTCCTGCAGGGCATCTGCATACTTCTTAACCCCAAAAATGGCTCCAAGAGAAGTATTGAAAATGATATTGGCCTTGGATCGCTTCCCTGTCTGAGAAAAAAAAAACCATTAACACCAAAGCATAACTCCAGCTGCCTTCTTTTAAAAAAAAAAAAATCTAGACAAGAATTAAAACCCTCAGCAGAGACTTGGCTAGTTTTTGCCACCATTATGTCCTGGCAGGGCAACGGGTAGACCAATCCACTGCCTCCTCCTTACGTTCTGCCCATGACATACAACTAAGTATACACTTGAGTTGGGGGCTGAGGTGGGCACTGTTCAGCTGAAGGCCAGAGGTGAAGGTTAGGTCCAGGTCAAGATAGAATAGAGCAGAATGGAATGTTTATTCATATGTTCATCTATTCATTCACTCAATAAATATTTAACAAAGTTCTAGAGTTGGCCAGATACTATCCTAGGTGCTGAGGGAACAGCAGTGAGCAAAACTGAGTTCCAGCCAGGCACAGTGCCTCACACCTGTAATCCTAGCATTTTGGGAGGCCGAGGTGGGCAGACCACCTGAGGTCAGGTGTTCCAGACCAAACTGGCCAACATGGTTCAAGATCAGCCTGTCTCTACTAAAAATACAAAAATTAGCTGGGCGTGGTGGCAGGTGCCTGTAATCTCAGCTACTCAGGAGGCTGAGGCAGGAGAATCGCTTGAACCCCAGAAGCAGAGTTTGCAGTGAGCTGAGATCGCACCATTGCACTCCAGCCTGGGTGACAGAGCAAAACTCTGTCTCAAAAAATAAAACTAAACTAAAAAGCAACAACAACAAAACCTTGATTTCCTACCTTCTTGATATTGTTCAGAGAGGCCAATATTCTCCCAAATGCCGAAGATCTTATGGTACACAAAAGAGAACTTTCCTCTTAGGTCATCCAAGACTTGGGAGAAAAGAATTACACAAAGGAAGTTTCCAGGATGGAAGAAACAGCTAGTTTCTTATTCTTTCCTTTGCTTGGCTCCTTTCAGGACTTGCTCACCCGGATCTCACCATTTGAAGAAGTTAGGTGAGTAAGTGCCTCAAAAGGTTATGCCAACCCCTTAGGACCCAGGATGAACTTTCTTGGAGTCAGAAATGATTACTGGAACTGTCTTTAATTCCCTACCTCACAGGGCTGTTGCAGTTTAAAGAATTCAGGGGATGGTCTTGCCCAGTCCCAGCCTCCACGCACACATTCAACCACTCCCCAGCCCATTCTTCCCCACCCTTCTTCCTGTGTGTTCCCGTACATGACTATGGGCTGCTTGGAACCCTGCCACGGTCTCAAGCCAAACCACACTTTGATAAACTAAATGTCACACCCCAGGCAAGAGCAGGGAGGGCAAGAGCAGCTTCCCTCACAAGATTAAGCCAGGTGTACTGGAGCTGCAGACACCTGCTCTTACACAGAGAGCATTTGGAGAATGCTGAGAAAGTCTCTTCCTGCCCAAATATCTCTTTCCATGAAGGTTTAAAGTTACATGAGAACATTTTTTTGCTTTCAAAGTTGGCATTTTGCCTATCCTTTTTTTAAATGTATACCCAAAGGACAGAAAATATTCATCAGCTTAAGCTTGAGTGGAAGTAGTTGATAGCATTATGGATAAAAATGAACAATCTGCAACTCATTGTCTAACTATATGGAAATATTTAAACAATCTCTCCAGTAGACTTTTTTTTTTTGAAGACGGAGTTTCGCTTTTGTTGCCCAGGCTGGAGTGTGATGGCCCGATCTGGGCTCACCACAACCTCCACCTCCCAGGTTCAAGCAATTCTCCTGCCTCAGCCTCCCAAGTAGCTGGAATTACAGGCATGTACCACCACGCTCAGCTAATTTTTTTTGTATTTTTAGTAGAGATGGGATTTCTCCATGTTGGTCAGGCTGGTCTTGAACTCCCAACCTCAGGTGATCCACCCACCTCGGCATCCCAAAGTGCTGGGATTACAAGTGTGAGCCACCACACCCAGCATCCAGTAGACTTGTACACACATATTTTAAAAGTATGTAACAAAGACTATTTAATATTACATAATACATCTAAATTTTTCATGTACACTATGACTGTAACCCTATTTAAGTATACAGAAAAGAAGCTAGAAAGCCATGTCAAATTGAAAACTGCAGCTTTATTAAAGCAATTGGGTCATGAGTGATTTTCTCCTCTTTTCTATTTTATAAACTTCCAGTTATCTAATTTTGTACATATGTAACAAAAATGTAGAGATAAAAAAGGGATTACGATAGAGATAAAATGGAATTCCTGCAATGAGTGAATGAGCACCGTCTTCCCTGCTCATCTCTGTCCCCGGAAAGGAAGCACACCTTCCTGAAGTAGGCTTCTGATAAATACATGATCTTCTGGGGGGCTCCAGCACACTTCACTGGAGTATTTGGGAAGGTGAAGATGGCATTGCCCTCCTTGAAGTCCTGCAGAGCTTTCCATGTCTTCTCTACAGTCTTAACTGAATAATTCGACCCTATTTTGGGATGAGCAAAACCTTCAGGTAGGCCTTTAATCTGCAACAAAGTACACAAAAATCATTTTAAACAAAAGCGCCAATGTCCTTAGAGTCCTTGTTCTTTGCCATTTCTACAGCCTTTCAAATATTTCAGCACTATGATTATCCACCAGTACCCACATGCCTACAGCAGGCAGGTGGGTGAGGGTTCCAAGACCAGAGCTGTGGCACCTGCAGTCACCTGTCAAACTGCAGCATGGGCTCAGCTCAGAGGAACCCTCCAACTCCCTGGCCTTGAGAACATAATTTGAATACAACTTTTCCCACCATCAGAGTGAGGACAAGACGCCAGCCAGCCATCCTTTTAGGAGAACCAGTTGACTTACTGGAAAGAACAATTGGCAGGACCAAGAGCCATTTATATCGTCAAGAATTTAAATCACCCTTTATCAGGTTGTACCAGACCAAACTCTAGGTAAAGGCATAAAGCCAGGTACCTACAAACATGGACTTTAGGATCCCACATGCCAGTCTGAGTCCTGGCTCTTCCACTTACCAGCATTGTGACCCTGCATAAATTACGTAATACTTCTAAGCCAGTAGGTCTCCGAGTGTGGTGCTCAGACCAGCAACACAAGCACCACCTGGGAACTTGCTAGAAATGCGGATTATCAGGCCCCACCCTAGACCTACTGAATCAGAAACTCTGGGAGCAGGCCCAGCAATCTGTGTTCGAACAGGCCCTCCAGGTGATTCAGATGCACACTCAGGTTTGAGAATCTTAAAGTTCACCATCTGTGAAATAGGGATAAGGTATCTGCTTCAGAGGGTTGTGGGCAGAAGCAAACGAGGCCATGCATGTAAAGGACACATGCACATGGCAAATATCCTGTAAATGTTAGCTGATTATTGCCAGTAAGATCAACTGGATACCTATTATAAATGTTAGAAGGCTCATAGAGTGCAATGAAGATGTCACCGACTCAATTAGAGACTTAAGCCCCAGTTCTTAGCAAGAACAGGTTCAACTTCAATCATCAAGAAACAGTCATCCAGCCAGGCGCCGTGGCTCATGCCTGTAATCCCAGCACTTTGGGAGGCCGAGGCAGGCAGATCACGAAGTCAGGAGATTGACACCATCCTGGCTGACACAGTGAAACCCCATCTCTACTAAAAATACAAAAAATTAGCTGGACGTAGTGGCGGGCACCTGTAGTCCCAGCTACTTGGGAGGGTGAGGCAGGAGAATGGCGCGAACTCGGGAGGCGGAGCTTGCAGTGAGCCAAGATGGTGCCACTGCACTCTAGCCTGGGCAACAGAGCGAGACTCCATCTCAAAAAAAAGAAAAAAGAAAAAAAGAAACAGTCATCAAGATGAGCCGGTCCTTCAGAGCCTCCCCAGGCCATTCTCTGGGACACCTCCAAAATTACTCCAGACACCCATCCCTGAGGTCTCAAGGAAACAAAGTCCTCTCATCTCCTCAGTGGCCTGGGTTCATTACTTATCCACACTCAATGTTAAAAGCAACTATTTCTTTGTTACTGTTCACCCCGTTCCAGTTAGATAGTAGTGACATTGGCAATCTCAATAATAATAACTCTATCATAAAATCACCTTGCATGTTAATGTTTTCAAAGTTTCAATCAATGCCAACACTGGACAGTCACTATGTACCTCTGAGGGAGGCAGGGGAATATTATTAGCCCATAGAATGGATGGAGCCCTGCCCAGAATCTTAACGAACCAGACACCAAGGCCTCTGCCCACCTGCCTGGGGGTCTTCCCACAGGACCGCCATACCTTCTAGTTCCCAAAGCAAATCTCATTATCCAAGAGATAAACAAGCAGTTGATGTCTTATCACCTTCATTATTTTTCCCTAGTTTTAAGAAAGTGTCGTTGATAGAAAAGGTGCCATAAAGTGGTGACCAAGCTCCTTTCAGGAAAACCTGTGTCAAAAACGGTGGTTTTGACCCCTCATCCAGTCAGAGTTGCTTCCCTGGGAATTCTGAAGCAGAGAGAGCTAGAGAGGAGGGGAGAGAGGAAAAGGGAGAATCGGGGAGAGAGGAAAAGAGAGAATCAGGAAGAGATGAGATGTGACTTCTCCTTTGGCTTCCAGCAACAGGCTATGCACTGGGGAGCTGTGGACTATCCTATCACAGAGAGTAGACCGGCAGGCAAGATGGCCTGCTGCAGTGACGCTGTGAAGCTGGCCTGAGAAAGAGGCCCAGAGAGATGGACAAAGAGACACTGCCTGAGTCCAACAGAACTCACAGTGGAGATCCAGTCCTGCCAGAAGCCCACCTACATTCCTGCCCTAGTGTTCCAGAAACATCTCAGTATTTTCATCAATGATCTCCAGTTTTTATGTACACCAACCTGAGTAGTTTCCTCGAATTTGCCATCAAAGAGTCCCAAGTAGCACAGCGACTATGGTTAAGTTACTACATTTCCTTAGCCTCAGTTTCCTATCTATTAAGTGAAGATAAAAATGCCTCCCTCAAAGTAGTTGTAAAGAATCAATTTTTGATTCCTGGCTGGGTGCAGTGGCTCATGCCTGTAATCCCTGCACTTTGAGAGGCTGAGGCAGGTAGATCACTTGAGGCCAGGAGTTTGAGACCAGCCTGACCAACACAGTGAAACCCCGTCTCTACTAAAAAAAAAAAAAAATACAAAAATTAGCCAGGCGTGGTGGTGGGCACCTGTAATCCCAGCTACTCTGGAGGCTGAGGCAGGAGAATTGCTTTAACCTGGGAAATGGAAGTTGCAAGTGAACTGAGATCATGCCACTGCACTCCAGCCTAGGTGACAAAACTCCATCTCAAAATAAAAAAGAAACAACACTTGATTCCTAGCATGGTTCCTGGTATGTAATAGAGATTCCATAATAATAGCTACTTTTAAATTCTCTGTGACTTGGTTTGCTACGAGAGGCTGCTATGAACTCTGAGCACTGGCCTCTGCAGTCCTTCTCACATGACACTGGGACTTTGGAAAGACAGCACCATGGAGATGCATTGCCTTTGCTAGGTCAACACTGTGGGGGCTTTTTTTGGAAGGTATGCCCCTCTTGAAAGTAGTTGTAATAGGCACCTTTCTCCATATCGTCTACTTCATAGCTTGCCTGTCATTCTAACAGACTCATGGCCCATTGCACCGTGACTCAAAGCCATCTTACAACATACACAACAACTTGTAGCTTCTCTGAACTTTCCCACAACACATCCCAAGACATTCTCACTACCCTTCCTCTGGACATGTCACAGTTCAGGTTTCTTTACACAGAAGCACACTTCAAAGATGCTTACTGGGCCAACTCGGATGAAGCCCTTCACATTCCTGAAGCTTGTTACCCAGTTAGCACAGATGTTTCCTGTACTCCAACTATTTACCCGTGGTCCCCAACAAGCTTCTGGAAATGATAGTATTTACCGATTTACTCTGCTATGTTTTAGAAAAATCAGCTTGAATCTCACAACTTTCAGATAGCATCTGGCTCCCCAGCTCACTGAGAAGGGAGCTCTGAGGAACTTCTGGGTGGCATTTCCATTGCAGCGGTTACTTCACACTAAAACCCTGGCATCTACACAACAAAACCCAGATGGCCCTCCAGCAACTGAGGAGCTAACTGCTGGTGTTCCACCCCTTAAAGTCTGTTTTAAAATTTATAATCTAAACCCTCCTTCCAAAGTGGAATTTAATCTTCAATACAGCCAATTCAGTCCCACATAGAAAGACAGGTTTCTTACAAATGTAAAAGAAAACTGCTGTTTTGCAGGAATTATCATTAAGGCATGAGCATGCTGAACTCTAATTAAAGCTTAAAGCTAGAACATATTATTATTGACAGAAACTTAGAGAAGACTTCCTTCAAACTATAAAAGGACTGCCAAGAAATAAAACCAGAAGAGATTTTCTTAGAACCCCTTTCTTGTCAAAATGAATACAATAAAGCAACTAAACGCAGCATTTGCTCTTGGCATAGATAAGCCAGCATAACACAGAAACAGTTTCACACAGTACCTTCTCATAGTGCAGCTGGATTCCGAGAGCAATAATAAGATATCGGTAGGAGATCTGTAACACAAAAAGACATTATTTTAGACCAGGACCCAAGAAGCAGCAGCTCAAGCACTGACTCAGGCCCCAGATGTGGTTCCGTGTGGTCTGCGGGAGGCAGGGAAATATTACTAGCCCACAGAACAGATGAGAAAACCAAAGCAGAACAAGGTTGGGAGTCCTGCTCAGGTTCCCATTTTTTAATCTGAATGTCCTGGGGCTGGGGGAGGTGGGCCGACAGGCCGGGAGGGATGCACGTCCACTCCCATCATGCCCTCTGCCATCTATGCCTCATACCTCACTGCTTCACAAGTATTCTGTAAGCTGCCTAGATCCAGAAAGCTTGAGACAGCTATGTGTCTACACAGTGAGAGGCCACAATTATTTGTACAGTGCTTGTATTAACACTTTTTCATATTGAGAGGTAAGAAAGGGCTTCCTAATCTTAAAAGACAATCCACTGTCTAAAATCTATGGGGCAGGCCAGGCACAGTGGCTCACACCTGTAATCCCAGCACCTTGGGAGGCCGAGGCAGGTGGATCACTTGAGCTCAGGAGTTGGAGACCAGCCTGGGCAACATGGCAAAACCCTGTTCTCTGCAAAAAATACAAAGATTACCCAGATGTGGTGGCTTGCACCTGTAGTCTACAGGGGGGTTGAGGTGGGAGAATCGCTTGAGCCTGGGAGGTGGAGGTTGCAGTGAGAAGAGATCACACCACTGCACTCTAGCCTCGGTGATAGAGTGAGACCTGTCTCAAATATACATATAAATACATTATATGTTAAAAAACTAAAATCTATTGGGTAATATGTGAATCCCAAGCAAGTCTGACCTGTCATGTGGATTGGACCAATATCGTAATCGGGAGATTGCTCTTTTGAAGGTCATTGAAAGGCTATGACATAGTTCACCTGATCTTATTTAATGACCTGTATGGGGTGAAAAATGTCCCTTCTTCAAATGTGGGTATTGTATCCATAAGTAGCATGATGGAAATCTGGGTTTAGGACAAAGAGGAAGACAAGTTTAGGCCAAAATGTGTAAGCAAAGTAGCCTTAAAGTACAAGAACTTGCCTGGAAAACTGGAGTTGAAGAATGATTGCAATGAGACTCAGGAGCCCAGAAAGAAGAAACAGGTGGTGATTACTACGATCCTGTACTAAATGGCGGAGAAGAGCAAGCAACCTGAGAGAATCGTAGTTGGAGAGAGAGGACTCCAAGACCTGAGAGTGCTTGGCTCTGGCTGAGGAGCCGAGGGAAGTAACATGCAGAATAGGTCCTGCCCTGGCATCCGGGAGCTTCAGCCCCAGGGGCACCTCCGCAGCAGGCTTTCCCATTATGACACCATCACCCTCACCACTGGCCCCTCCCAGGAGTTCCCCAGCACAGTGTGCATGAGGCTTCCTAGCACGTGTTCTCCCCACCACGATGACCACTCCTAGAGGATAAAAGTTACGTCTTATTCCTTATATTCCTAGAATCTAGCACAGTCACTAAAGTGAGGAACTCTGTAATGTTTGTTGGGTGAATGGATAGATGAATGATTTCAGTTGCTTGTGAAAAATACAATTTCCCTAAGTGGATACATAATATAAGCATTTTCATCTGTATGTTTTCCCTATCCATAGAAAGATGATGTCTCGGCCAGGCACAGTGGCTCATGCTTGTAATCCCAGCATTTTGGGAGGCCGAGGTGGGTGGATCACGAGGTCAGGAGTTCGAGACCAGCCTGACCAACACAGTGAAACCCCGTCTCTACTCAAAGTACAAAAAATTAGCTGGGCATGGTGGCGGGCGCCTGTAATCCCAGTTACTCGGGAGGCTGAGGCAGACGTTTGCTTGAATCCAGGAGGTGGAGGTCACAGTGAGCCAAGATCGCGCCACTGTACTCCAGCATGGGCGACAGTGCGAGACTCTATCTCAAAAAAAAAAGAAAAGAAAAAAGAAAGAAAGATGATGTCTTGAAATTCCATCTTCTGCAGGAAAGGGCACTGGGCCCGTTAAGTGGCTGGCCAAACCGTGTTGAGCAATCCGGGCACGTTAGGTGAGAGCTAGCACGGCGTCTGGCAGTGATGATCTACAGGTGAAACACATGACCACTGCCAACAGAGGAGCTTTTGGTTTGTGCAGGCCACCACCAAGCATAATGCAACATAATATTGATTATGCTCTGTTTTATTCGAGCATAATATTCGTTATTTCTAAGGACTAAAACCACGCCAGCTTAAGATTATGGGGGAAAAAATCATTAAGAGAGAATAAACCCTCCATAGCAACAGAGCAAGAAAAAAACCTCAAGCCTTTTAAATGAGTTCAAGTTTTCAGGTTAGATGACCTGAACCCTCAGGAACAGCAAAAGATTATAGATAAGACTTTAGAGCAGTTATGCACAACAGTATAGACCTTGCCAGAAGGCTGAGTATCTGCAAGTATTCTCATATTACACAGGGGTCAGACGACGTAAATTCTGACATGAATGCCTTAGTAAATAGGCTATTAATCCTTTGCAAAAGTCTAGGCTCAACTACTAAATAGACATTTCATAGTACTTTTTTAAAAGATTAGCTGGGCATGGTAGTGTGTGCCTGTAAGTCCCAGCTTCTCGGGAGGCTGAGGCAGATCGTTTGAGCCCAAAAGTTCAAGTAACTTGAGCTGTGATCTCACCACTGCACTCCAGCCTGAGCAACAGAGCAAGGCTGAAGGGAGGGGAGGGGAGGGGAGGGGAGGGAAGGGAGAAAGAGGGAGGAAGGAGACAAAGAGAGGAAGGAAGGGAAGGAGAAAGAAAGGAAGGAAGGAAGAAGGAAGGAAGGAAAGGAGGGAGGGAGGGAGGAGAAGGAAGAAAGAGGGGGAGGGGAGGAGAGGGGAGAGGAGAGGAGAGGAGGAGAGGAGGAGAGGAGAGGAAAACGAGCACCAACATAGGTTCACAGATGATAAGCCAGCTGCTTTCAATCAGCAATCCAGAACTGCTGGCATATAGTAGATACTCAGCAAATAAATCCTTTTCCTTTTCATGTATTCTTTTAAAAATAACAGCAATGTTTATCGAGCATTTGCTCTGTGCAAGGTGCTGTTCTAAGTGCTTCATGTGGTTTCATTCATGTAACACTCACAACTTCATAAGGTATCTAAGTACTATTATTATTTTACAAATGAAGAAACAGACACAATTTCCTCACAAATATTTACTAAGCACCTTCTATGTTCCAGATATTGTGCTAGGTCCTGGGCATAAAACAATGGACAAGAAAAATACACTTCCTGCCCCTCAGGAACTCCATCTAGTGCGTGAGATGGGCATTACCAGATAATGACACAAATAATTACTAAATCACAGAATGCTGTGATAGCACATCAAGGGGTAACCTGACCTAGTCTGGGAAGTCAAGGAAGCCTTGCCTGAAGGAGTCATATCGAAGCGAAAGATGAGTAGGAGATAGCTAGGGATAGAGGTGGAAATAGCATGTGCAAATGTCCTGGGGTAAGAAAAAGGCTGAGGCATTTGAGGAAATAAGAGGCCAATGTGGCAGGAGTAGGAACAAGGGGAGAATAGAACTGGGTTAAGCCTGGAGAAGGAGCAACAGCCAGTCTACATGGGGCCTTGAGATGTGTTTCAGACAAACACACCCTTGGAACAGGGAAGAGTCAGAGACACACTGAGTCTGGGTTTCAGCAGTGCCTCCAGCTCAGTCTTTCACCAATAAGCTGGGAAAGTATAAACTAAGAATAGAATGGGCCGGGCACAGTGGCTCATGCCTGTAATCCCAACACTTTGGGAGGCCGACGTGGGCAGATCATCTGAGGTCAGGAGTTCGAGACCAGCCTGCCCAACATGGCGAAACCCTGTCTCTACTAAAAACACCAAAATTAGCTGGGCGTGGTGGCACACGCCTGTAATCCCAGCTACTCAGGAGGCTGGGGCAGGAGAATCACTTGAACCCTGGAGGCAGAGGTTGCAGTGAGCCAAGATCGCAGCACTGCACTCCAGCCTGGGAGACAGAGTGAGCCTCCATCTCAAAAAAAAAAAAAAAAAAAAAAAAAAAAAAAAAAAAACCAGAATGGAATGATTTGGTCAATTGAATAATATTTGCTAAAGAATATTGACTAATTTTATGCAATCTAAAAACGCTCTCTAGCGACATGTTTGTTACAGAATTAAAACCTTGAACTTATATGAAACCACCTGTGAATAAAAGGAAAAACTGCTAATGGAGTGAGAGTCATAAATCCAAAAGACCCAGATGGGTTGGGAGGATGAACTAAAACCAGCAGGATGATTTCTCACATGAGATGTCGAGTGTATTTCTGATTTCTGGATATGAAGTAGTTTTGCTTCATAAAATATTGGAAGAAAGTCCCACTACAGTGCACCAACTTCTCTAGCCCTAAAACAAGACACTACAGCTTTCCTAAGTGTCTAACCTTAGGAGTAATAGGTAGGACTCAGCAGTGAGAACACCTACGAGTGCCTGTCATTCCCAAGAGATGAGTAAAGTACCTGCTCCTTGAGATGAGCATGAACCCAACCACAGAGGGCTCCGAACTGCAGCTTGAAGGGGTCCAAACAATGAGGCAGGCCCTGACGCAACAAAGAGATGCTGTGTGTGATATGAGAGAGGTCTCCTGGCCCTGTATGCAGAAGACTGGCAAGGTAAAAGAGCCACCAAGCTCAACCTTGTGAATTGAGAACAATCTTGACTGTAATTCAGTCCGGTCTTCTGGAGACATTGAGAAAAATTAAAGTTCTGAACTATTAACAGGGCAAAAGCCATATATAAAATCTTTAATTAAAATAAATATATATGCATATAGGTATTTGCTTATATATATTCATTCCTGCCTTTAGGTAAAATCAGTAACAACTGTACTTTTTCTGGATGGGGAAAGCCTGACTCGATTGTGGGTTGTATGAAAAGGGCCCAGAAATTTGCACCGACCTCAAGCCCAGCATGAATCAGCACCATGGTAACTGTCACAAAAAAGGTAAATGCTAACTTAGGCAGCATGAGCTCCTGGGAGAGAATGGCTCCACTCTATTCCGGGCTGTTCTAGAAAGTTGCCTTCTCTTCCAGGCACCTCTTTCATGGGGCACTAACAAGCCAGATAGTGTTTAAAGCAGAATAAAGAGGGGGCTGGGGGGACCAGAAACCATGAAATGTGAGGAAGAATTGAGGGACATGAGGACAGGGGGGACACATCTACCTAAACAGAAAATTTATATAAAACGTAAGAGCCATCTTCAAATAGCTGAAGGGTTTCTCCACAGAAAAGAGAGAAGACATTCTTCTCTCATACACAACAGGACAAAACAAGGAATAAAAGTATTAAGAAAGGTATTAAGTGTATTAAAAGCAATAACATCCTGGGTGTCCAAGAAAGAATACAAAAAAGGTTACAGGAAGGTGGATTCTGGCTCAGTAAAGACAGAACTTTCATATAACCCACCTGTCTGAAAAAATGAAGTTAACTTATCAGAGAACTCCTTGGCCATGGACTATGTAAATACCAACCTATTTTAAATTCAATCCCCCACCTCCATGTGCCCCAATACCAGTTAGCTCCAAATCAGCTCTATTTTTTCCATGAATAACCATCATATTCTAACATAGTATATAAGTCTATTGTTGATTGTATGTTCTCACTGACTAGAATATAATATCCAGTTCAGTAAGAATTTTTGTCTGTTTTTGTTCACTCATGTATCCTTAATACCTAAAACTGCACCTGGCTTATAGTAGATGCTTAATAAATATTTGTAGAATGAATGAATGAATGGAGGCCAGAAAGCCAAGGATCATAAATGCTATATGGCAGGTACTCTTTTTTTTTGTTTTTGTGTTTGTTTGTTTGTTTGTTTCTTTTTTTGGAGACAGCTCTGTCACTCAAGATGGAGTGCGGTGGTGCACTCACGGCTCACCACAGCCTTGAACTCCTGGGCTCAAGTGATCCTCCCACCTTAGCCTCGCAAGTAGCCGGAAACACAGGCACACACACTACACCTAGCTAATTTATTAAATTTTTTTTTTGTAGTGACAGGGTCTCACTATGTTGCCCAGGCTGGCCTCAACCTCGTGGGCTCAAGTGATCTTCCTACCTCAGCCTACCAAAGTGTTGGGGTTACAGGTGTGAACCACCATGCTCGGCCAAAGTAGGTTCTCTTGATCAGGGTCCAGGGAAAAGCTACAGAAAGTCTCTGAACTCCCTAAAAGCAAATGCAAAATCTGGTACATAGGTGCATTTTTCTAGAGAGGGCTTTCGTCTGGTACCCAGAAAGATCCATGACCTAAAAAAGCCTTAAGAATGCCTCAACAGGCTGGGCGCGATAGCTCACCCCTATAATCCCAACACTTTGGGAGACTGAGGCAGATGTATCACTTGAGGTCAGGAGTTCAAGCCAGCCCGGCCAACATGGTAAAACCCCATCTCTACCAAAAAGTACAAAAATTATCTGGGCATGGTGACACAAGCCTGTAATCCCAGCTACAGGGGAGGTAGAGGTGGGAGAACCACTTGAACCCAGGAGGTGGAGGTTGCAATGAGCCAAGATTGTGCCACTGCACACCAGCCTGGGCGACAAAGTGAGACCCTGTCTCAAAAAAAAAAAAAAAGAATGCCTCAGCAGATGAAGGATCCTCACCAACTCTGATTCTACAATTCCGTGAAAATGCTGGAGTCTCCAGTTGAAGGGGGAAGAGGCAGAGGATTAAGACCAATAACACTCTGGGAGCCCCAAAACCACAGGAACCTGGAACAGGTCAGAGCACGGTGCTGCACTGCCTGCCCCTGTCCTGGGCTCAGCAGCAGGTGGGGGAAAGAAAGCTGCAGATGGCTTCCGAGCAGCCCTTCCACCATCCTGCTCTTATCACCTCAGTTAAACATGGGGCAGCCACTGCTGAAAAGCTTTGACCCCTGAGTGGTGAGAGTGGGTGACTTCTAAAAGGTGCTGAGCAGTTACGAGCCTCAAGCTGCAGCAACAATTCTCCTTAGCGCTGGCATGAACCTCAGAGTCACAGGATTCCCCTACAGTTCTGGCAGAGTGCCCCCTAGGGTGGCTGGATGGATACTTTCCAGTATCCTATTGCTCTGGGAGGCTAGGCGTCAGGTAGAAAATCTGATTGCTTCAGAAAAAGAGAAAGAGGAAGGTGCTTGCTATTTTAACATGTAGCAACATATAAACAAATGGTTTGATAAACATTCAGGTGCCAGATACTATACTAAGCAATAGGGTACATGGTGGGTGTTCAACAAATACTTACCTTAGTTGTTTATTAACTCAATATCACTCAGTCCTTCCATCTATCCTCCACTTACCACATACCCTGCCATCTTGTGCAGTATTCAGCACACATACGTTCATGCACACTCATGCATATATACTGCTCTTTCAACACAAAGCTATCCAGTTTAAGATGGTTGCGTATTAATACAAGCCATCAGATTAACAAAAAATCCAAAGGCCCCAGTGGTTACCTGCTCGTCGTTGTCTGTGTGAATGCAGTTCTTGTCTGGGTTCAGCTCAGTCACTCTAGCTTTGATCCATTCCACACCAGACGGAATCACACTCGCCATGGGACGACCCGATGAGGACAATTGTTTGGCACCAGCACCCACCAGTGTCCAGATTGGCTGGTAGAAATGTCTCTGAGAAACAAAGTATTTGAAGATTTATTACAATTTGACACTGATCAAAAGGGTGTCATAGCTAACAGTATGAGCTAGATTCCCTCAGTTACTCCCTCCTGACTCTTAGAGCATTGTATGGAAAGGCCTCCACAAAGTTAGCTCCCTCTATTAGGCGTCTCCTATTATGGTAAGTTCTGAAGGACAGTCATTCAACACAAGAATCTTCCAAGATCATCAAAAAAGCTATAAACTATCTTTAGTGACCACTGCATTATTTATTGCTGAAAGTTGATTTGGTGTTTAATATGTACATGTTATATACACATGCATATCTACACATATATTATGGATACTTCATGTGAACAAATATTTTAAAAATTAAGCCCAGCAGCCTAAATATGGTCCCTCAGGAGCATGTAGAGACAGTGGTAAGCCTGGAAAGTTTACAGCCACTTCCAGGGGTCCTCTAAACTTCATTCACTTCCAACTGTGTTTCCCAAGCCCAGTGAGGGCTGTGTTTCCTGATCAGCCTTTCTTCTACTTTCTCAGACCCTCAGAGACTTTACACCCAAAGACAGTAAGTACTAGATCCTACTCCACAATGCAATGCATGCCCAAACTTTCACTATCTTCTGGAGTTTTCTTGCTTCAGATGGTCCATTCCTTTTTTTTTTTTTTTTTTTTTTAAGACAATCTCACCCAGTCACCCAGGCTGGAGTGCAGTGGCATGATCTCAGCTCACTGCAACCTCCACCTCCTGGGTTCAGGTGATGCTTCTGCCTCAGCCTTCCGAGTAGCTGGGACTACAGGCATGTGCCACCACACCTGGCTAATTTTTGCATTTTTAGCAGAGAGGGGTTTCACCAGGTTGCCTAGGCTGGTCTTGAACTCCTGACCTCAGGTGATCTGCCTGCCTCAGCCTCCCAAAGTGCTGGGATTACAGGATGAACCACTGTGCCTGGCAACAGATAGTCCATTCTTGATCTAAGTTAGTTGTGAAAGTTCTGGACATGGGGCAAAGGGCAGATTTGTATAATGGCCTCTAAGAATTCCAATCCACTTAGAGTAGACCGTGGACCAAGAACTCTCAATATTGCCAAAATGCCTCAAAGTGGCGGGCCAGCACTGCCAAAACCCACAGAGAGGTGAAGAGGACACCAGGAATGACTCTGCAGTCTCCCTACAACCAATAATGTGATCCAAGAGGAGGAAGACAGTGGTCTCCATTTAAGAGAGCTCATCAATGGCCAGTCCATCTTGAACAGTAAGAGGAGCAAAAATACAAGCTCAGATTTTATTTTTAGACTATGAACATCAGCTCCAGCTATCACTAAACCAGACTCAGCAGGCAAAGTACCAAGCCTGGGGCTCTGGCAGCTCCTTCCAGAAATTCCTGCCCTGTACTTCCTCACAGGGCAAGACAAACTGGATTCTGGCCGCCTGAATTGTGCCCAGGTCCCAGAAGAGCCAGTCTCCTTACAAAGAGAAGCCCGACTGGGAGACCCACCCATGCATTAGCTAAAATACAACATATACCAGAAAGAGTGGCCACCTGACACAGCTCTCAGACCACTGTCATTTAAAGTAAGGTTCCTGAATTGAAGAGATGCCACTTTACAAAGGCAATTGATAGAGACTGCCCCCTAGTTTCCTGTCAAATCATGGCCCTAGGTAACATCATTCCCTTGAATGGGACAAATCTTGAAAAGGAGTATGTCTTCCTTGTCCTGTCCTCCCCCTGAAACAGGCACCTGATCCATTTTGCTTTTTTCTCCCAAGGATGCAGCTCCCAACTGGTACATGCCTAGTTCCGCAGGAAACATTAGGCAAGCCACCAAAAATCTTGAATATTTTTCTGAAGCTTTTGGACAATCTTAATATGTTTTTTGCGAGACAGTGCCTTACTCAGTCTTCCCTCCTAGTGTCAGCTACCTTTTCTCCCTTATAATCTGCCCTTGCATTTAAGTTTGTAAGCCCACTGACAGCTTTCCAGAGGCTCCCTGTGCCCCAATGCATCATCCCTTCTCCAGACAGGAATGGATAAGAAGGTGCAGTGGCCATTGATTTTCCTCTGGGCAGGAGGTTGGCATTGGGAGAGTGTCGTGGGTTGAATTGTGTCTCTCTCAAAGAAGGATGTTGACATTCTAACCCCAGTACCTGGGAATGTGACCTTATTTGGAAATAGGGTCTTTGCAAATGTAATCAAATTAAGATGAGGTCATTCTTGAAGAGTGTGCCATAAGTCCAACGACTTTGGATTTCTAGGAGGGTCATGTAAAGACACGGGGACACAGAGACACACAGAGGACATTCTGTGAAGATGGAAGCAGAGAAGGGAGTGGCACAACCGCAAGCCAGGGAGTGGCAAGGATTTCAGGGTAACCACCAGAAGCTGGGAGAGAGGCCTGAGACAAAGCCGCCTCCCATCCCTCTCACCCAGGCTGCAGGGGGAGCATGGCCTTGCCCATAGCTTGGTTTCAGGCTTCTAGCCTCCAGAACTGTGAGGGAATAGACGTTTGTTGTTTTAAGCTACCCAATTTGTAGTAATTAGTTATGGCAGCCCTAAGAAACTAATACAGAGGAGAACAGTAAAAGCCAAGAGATCTGTCCTCCCTCTCTTTCCGTCCACTTCCTCCCAGTCCTTTTGGATAGGCTGCTTTCTGTGCCCAGGAGAAGCCCTAGCCTGGACACATGAAGACCCATTGCTTGATAGTCATACCCAACCCCAGAACACACACACACACTCACACACACACACATATACACACACGTACACACACACCCAGGCCCTCAAAAGGGGAGGCTTACCTCACTGGGCTCAACAACGGCCACATTCTCTGCACCCACTTTCCTCTTCATGCGGGCGGCCATGGTGATCCCACCACTGCCCCCACCCAGCACCAGCACCTCATAATGGTTCCTGGCTGCATGGCTGGCCCCGGTGTGCAGCTGAAGGGGGCCGGCCTGCTGAGTGCCCAGCCTGAGCAGGCAGGCAAAGAGCTGGGCACGGGGCCCCGATACCACAGCCACCAGTGGCACCATCTTCAGGCAGGATCAGTCTGGAAGGGAAGAGACAGGGCTACGAGTGCCAAGGTAGAAACCATCATGGGACTGAAGCGTTTTCTTCCCAGGAGGAACGGAGGCCAGCATCTGGCCCACTCCCACTGGTCCCCATCATCTCTCAGGACCACTTTCCCCACTGGCTATGGTCCCAAGGCCTCCTGAGAGCACCCAATTGGTAGCTATCAACTGACTATACTTTCCATTTCTCCCCTTCCTCCTACGCTCAGGCTATCGAGGACTTTGAACCAAATTCCCCAATTCTTTAATTCTTTCCTAATAACCTGTCTGTACCCATCCTTGTCCATCCATAAGATCCAGGGCACCATCTGGTTGCATCCAGCTGTTGGCCCATTCTCCACTGAGGTACACTCCCCAATGCTTTCTTTGGGTTTTCAGTCCATGAAAACTGATATACGAGTCCACAATCAGAGACCTACAACATTCCTTGCAGTAAAAAGCACCTGAGACCTTGCTGAAACAGAAACCAACTAGAAGAAACCCACCTTCTGCAACTCAGAGTACCCACCAAGGCCATCAATGCCGCAGCCCCCCTCCAGAGGCCTCCTGGCTCTGCTTGCCCAGGGAAATACAATGTAATTAAATCACCGGCCACAGACACACAAGTGTAGGCCCTCCACACCTCTAGCAATTTCAACCAGATGATTTCAGAAAGCCATAAAAGGAGCCCTACCTGGTATCATAAAGTTTTATTTTACTGAAGGAATCTGCACATGCTGCTGACCAGTCTTTTATTACATCCAATTCAGTAAACATTTCTCCTTAACAGTTCCTCCGAGAGACTCACTTTACCTTTAAGAAAACCTGTTTCTGCTCTGAGCAGTGAGGAAAGTAAGGCTTCTCAGAGACTGACCTTTGCTTCACCCCACGCACAAAGCTGGCCCGACATCCAGGACCCCATCCACCTGTAAACCTTGAGTGACCCCCGACTCATATCTCCCTCCCTGGGTATGACAGTGCCCCAAATCCTACCGTCAAGTCCAGTGCTTAGGGTTCAACACTGCTCCAAGAACCCTTTATTAAAATGCAAGTGTCCAGCTGGGGATTAACACTTACAGCTGCTAAGGTTACTAACTTCTTAATGAAATGACTTCATTATATCATTTCCCCCCTCCCGACTGGAGAAGAGGAAGTCTGTACAAGGGGATTAGAGAAAGCTGAGAGGGCAAAGGGGTTATAGAAAGAAAGGCCTTGGAGAGGCGGAAAAATAATAGGGAATGGGAAGGAGGAGCCGAGGGGCTGTGAAGATTAACTCTATTCCAGAGTTTTGGTGCCCCAACAACTTCTCCAATATTTCAGATCTGAGAAGCAACCTAGAGCTGTACGAAGGGGACTTGGAGGCCCACGGTAAGTAGAACAGGCACATACAGTGTTTCCAGGAGTCTAGAGTCAATACGACCCTTCTGGAAACTTACACTTTGACCCTGCATTTCCATTTCTAGGAATCTAATCTAAGGAAATAACCTCTAATACTGAAGAAGAAAAACCACTACAAAGATTTTTTCACAAATGTATTCATAATCTGATCACCCCTCTGTTAATTGGCTTGTGGATTAGGGCTAATTATGTCCTGGGGACAGAAAAAAAAAAACTGCAGGCTCCACACAGGCCGGGAAAGGCTCAGGTCACCACTTTAATATGGGGGCAGAGAGCAAACCAAATATCAAAACACTGGGGAAGGGTTAACTAAAACATGGAACCCAAGGTGATTTCTGTAGTCTTTTAAAATTATGTTCATAAAAAATACATAGGCCAGGTGTGGTGGTTCACACCTGTAATCCCAGCACTTTGGGAGGCCAAGGCAGGTGGATCACCTGAGGTCAGCAGTTCAAGACCACCCTGGCCAACATGGCGAAACCCTGTCTCTACTAAAAATACAAAAATTTTTAGCCAGGCGTGGTGGTGTGCACCTGTAATCCCAGCTACTAGGGAGGCTGAGCCATGAGAATTGCTTGAACCCAGGAGGCAGAGGTTGCAATGAGCTGAGATCATGCCACTGCACTCCAACCTGGGTGACAGAGTGAGACTCTGTCTCAAAATATATATATATATATATATAAAAAATATATATAATATATAATATATAATATATAAATATATATTATATATAATATATGTGTAAAATGTATATTATATATAAAATATATATTATATGTAAAATATATATATTTTATATATATATAATATTTTATATATATATAATATTTACATCATGATCAGGAAACAAATTAGAAATGCAATATTCTCTCAACTATGTAAGAGAAAATGTATTAGAAAAAACAAAGCCAAAATCTTAACACTGGTAAGTGGTTTTCTATGGGTTTTAGAATAATGAGTGATTTTGATTTCTTCGGCTTTTACATATTTTATAAAATTCTCTACTATACACATACATTAATATTGGCTGGGCATGGTGGTTCACACCTGTAACCCCAGCACTTTAGGAGGCCGAGAGTGGGGGGATCACCCAGAAGTTTGAGACCAGCATGGAAAACATAGGGAAACCCCATCTCTATTAAAAAAAAAAAAAAAATTAGCCAGGCATGTTGGTGCATCCAGCTACTAGAGAGGCTGAAGTGGAAGGATCACTCAAGCCCAGGAGGTCAAGGCCACAGTGATCTGTGATTTCTCCACTGTACTCGAGCCTGGGGACAGAGGGAGACCGTGTCTCAAAATAAATAAATAAAATTAATATTAATAAAATATTCCTTTAGATGATAATTAACATTTACTAAGTCCTTTACATAAGCATTTAACTTGTGAGTTGGCTACCACTATCATTCCCATTTAACAGATGGTACAACTAAGGCAGATAGCAGTTAAGTGACTGTCAAGGTTATACAGCCCATGGGTGGACTGTGATTTGTACCCAGGTATTTTGGTATCAGAGCCTCTACTTTAAACTACTACACCATACTATCTCTATGACCTTTAGAACAATATGTCTCAACAGCAACAAAACAATGCTTGTGTGATAACGTTAAATGGGAAAAAAAAAAAAAAGGTATACTTTCTACAACTTCCCAGAAAAGGGAAACCATTTTTCAAGGTACTGATACCTAAATATTAGCAATGGTTTTAATATGATTATAATTATTTTTCCTCTTCTTTGTGTGTACTTTTCTCAAATTTTCTTTAATACATTATACATTTAAAATTTCTTAAATTACTCAAACAGATTTTTTTTAGATTGAAGAGAAGAAGAAATCACCAAGTAAGATATGGATGTTTCATACAGAAGGAAGAAGATATTTCATGGTGCATACCCAGTCATCGCATCCTGCCTTTCTTTCTTAATGTCCACAGAATGATAGAATCACAGCGCAAAAATTCTCACTTTCCAGAAAATAAAAATCATGTTTTCATGGTCCTGACACTATATCTATCCCCATGGAAAAAGCCCCATAGAAAGAACCCCATGGGGCAGGGGCAGGAGGAGGCCTGGCTAAGTTTCTGATTTCCAGCCACCCCATCTGAGGTTGTTTGGCCTCCTAGTGATACAAGAGTTAAGAAAAATTATTTAGGCAGATAGTGAGGGTATGGAAGTCCTCGGTAAGGTTTTCATTTTAATGAAAAGCAGCCCCAAGTCATTTTCCTGTCTAACAAAGAGCAGCCTGTAAAATCGAGCTGCAGACATAGATGCTGGCAATTGTGCCAATCATGTTCAAGATGGAGGCTCCATTTTCCCTCTGTCAGCCATGTGTACAGTAAGGAGCAGACAAGATGGCCCCAACTAAGGGGAACGTTCATTTGCATAATAAGATTAGGGTGGGGAGGCCAGCCTTCCTGACGCACTATGTAAGTATCATACCTGATCAAACCAATCTGTGAGCCCTATGTAAATCAGACACGGCCTCCACCAACCTGACTATAAAATCTGACACATCCACCACCGGCCGGGTCTTTCCACTCAGAACACCCCTCTCTCTCAATAGAGTTGTTTTTCTTTCTCTTTTCTTCTGCCTATTAAACCTCCACTCCTAAACTCCTTGTGTGTGTCCGTGTCCTAAATTTTCCTGGCGCAAGACAATAAACCATGGGTATACACCCCAGTCAATGTAGCCACTTCACTAGCTCCCTTCCAGGCTAACACCTCATGGTTCCTCTCTTGAAAATGTACACAAATATTTCTCTCACTCAGCCAAGAAGGCTACTTCTGCTTTATTTCATTAATTATCCATAGCCTATTCCTGGATTCAGTATTTATAAACAAAAAGTCCTCTGAACCAGTTTTATTGACATCATTGACAGTCACATAGCAGAATGTCCTGACCTTTGCAGTCAAATTTCACTTTCAAACTATAAGCAACAACTTCAAAAACACAACAGAATATGTTAGAGGGAATGTCCAAGTTTCAAAATGCTGAAAAATCTCAATTACTCTCTAATTCTAACAATGTAACTTCACCCAAACTTCCAAATCAGAAAACCCAGAACCATGATCCAGCCCTGCCTGTGGAGAAGGTGGAGCATGATGCAATGTCAAAGAAACAAACCAGGGCAGGAATCATAATTTTTTAATGCCACTTCTTTTTTTTTTTTCTTTCTTTTTTGAGTCTGGCTCTGTCACCCAGGCTGGAGGGCAGTGAAGAGATCTCAGCTCACTACAACCTCCACTTCCCGAGTTCAAGCGATTTTCCTGTCTCAGCCTCCTGAGTAGCTGGGATTACAGGCACGCACCCCCATGCCCAGCTAATTTGTTGTATTTTTAGTAGACACGGGGTTTCACCATTTTAGCCAGGCTGGCCTCATGTAATCTGCCCACCTCGCCGTCCCAAAGTGCTGGATTACAGGCATAAACCACCCCACCCAGCCTAAATGCCACTTTTAAACCATGGTGTAATATAAAACATATTCTGTCTTTGTTCCTGGTTCCTAGCTCAAAGTTCCTAAAACCTTTGGGATTACCTGAGTGATGGAAGTGTCATTTGTTTTTCATAATGAGTCCCTGAGTTTATGCTAGTAAGGTGACTCAAGGTGGGATCCCTAGATGGCTTCAGGATGGGGCTGGTCACCAGAAAAACCAAACATGTGACTGTGATTAGAGGGCTGGAACTCTCAGCCCCGCCTCCAACCTTGGGAAGGGGAGTGAGGCTGGAAATTGAGCTCTATAAAAACTCTTCAACAATAAGACAAGAGCTTCCGGGTTGGTGAACTCACTGATGTGCTGGATGGTGTGTGACCGGAGAGGGCCTGGAAGCTCTGCACCACCCTGCTACCTTGCCCTGTATGTCTCTTCCATATGGCAATTCCTGAGCTGTATCCTTATACTAAACCAGTAAACTCAGGTAGAGTGTTCCCCTGAGTTCTTTGAGTAGTTCTAGCTGATTATCAAACCTGAGGAGGATGGATCATGGGAGCCTTGGAATTTGTAGTTGGCCAGACACAGGTGTGGGTCCCCTTGGGGCCAGCAGCAGATGCCCTGCCTGGCTGGCATCTGAAGTGAGGGCAGTCTTGCAGGACTGAGCTTTAAACTACGGGGCCTCCACTAACTCCGGAAGCTAATGCCACAATTGAATTGAATTACTGGGCAGCTAGTTGGTATTGATTGGTATTGAAAAAGATAACAGGCCGGGCGCGGTGGCTCAAGCCTGTAATCCCAGCACTTTGGGAGGCCGAGACGGCAGATCACAAGGTCAGGAGATCGAGACCATCCTGGCTAACACGGTGAAACCCCGTCTCTACTAAAAAAAATACAAAAAACTAGCCGGGCGTGGTGGTGGGCGCCTGTAGTCCCAGCTACTCGGGAGGCTGAGGCAGGAGAATGGCGTAAACCCGGGAGGCGGAGCTTGCAGTGAGCTGAGATCCGGCCACTGCACTCCAGCCTGGGCGATAGAGCGAGACTCCGTCTCAAAAAAAAAAAAAAAAAAGAAAAGAAAAAGATAACATATATTTGATATTAGAATATTAGAAGTGGCATCAGAAAACATCACTTAGGAACCAACAGGAATTACTGACATTGACCTAAACTAAGTCTATAGCAACAAGCAGAGAAAGATACAGTTGAAGGAAGCAACAGCCACACAATCTTTCTTTCTTTCTTTTTTTTTTTTTTGAGGCGGAATCTTGCTCTGTCACCCAGGCTGGATCTCGGCTCACTGCATCCTCCACCTCCCGGGTTCAAGCGATTCTCCTGCCTCAGCACCCACGAGTAGCCGGGATTACAGGTGCCTGCCACCGCACCCAGCTAAGTTTGTATTATTAGTAGAGATGGGGTTTCACCATGTTGGCAAGGCTGGTCTCGAACTCCTGACCTCAAGTAATCTACCTGCCTCGGCCTCCCAAAATGCTGGGATTACAGGTGTGAGCCACCCTGCCCGGCCAGCCACACAATCTTAACCAGAAGGCACACACACAAAAAAAAGGAGGCTTATGCCTGTAATCCCAACACTTTAGGGAGGCTGAAGTGGGTGGGTCACTTAAGATCAGGACTTTCAGAACAGCCTGGCAATGTGGTGAAACCTGGTCTCTTCAAAAATTAGAAAAAATTAGCTGGACCTGGGGGGCATGGTTGCCGGCGCCTGTAATCCCAGCTACTCTGAAAGCTGAGGTACAAGAATTGCTAGAACCCGGAAGGCAGAGGTGACTGTGAGCTGAGATCACACCACTGCACTCCAGCCTGGGCAACAGAGTGGGACTCTGTCTCAAAAAAAAAAAAAAAGAAGACGACCAAACTGGACCCTAAAGTCAGCAGAGCAGAAATAGAAAACTGAAAACTTCTGTCAGCAAGGAGCATAAATCTGATATGATTTCCTAGTCTCCTCAGAAGATAGCCTGAAACACTTAACTTTTTTAAGAAATAAGAATTAACTATTAGCCGGACGTGGTGGCTCATGCCTGTAATCCCAGCACTTCAGGAGGCCAAGGTGGGCAGATCACTTGAGGTCAAGAATTTAAGACTAGCCTGGCCAACATACCGCAACCCCCTCTCTACTAAAAGTACAAAAATTAGCCAGGCGTGGTGGCACACACTTGTAATCCCAGCTGCTTGAGAGGCTGAGGCACAAGAATTGCTTAAACCCAGGAGGCAGGGGTTGCAGTGAGCCGAGATCATGCCACTGCACTCCAGCCTGGGCAACAGAATGAGACTCTGAAAAAAAAAAAAAGAAAGAAAGAAAGAAAAAGAAAAAAATCAATAAAGTAAATTTAACTTTCACGTACCAAATGGCACATGCAATACATATTTTATAATCAAATAGTATTATGCTTTTAAGTTAGACTAATATTCCTCTATTCTAAATTGATTGCATCCCTCCTTCAAAGAATCGGAATGAATGCTTTGATATGACCGCAGTCTAACTGGAAAAGTAAAGTCCCTGTTGATTGAAAGATAAGACAGCTGACTGGGCACCCCCACCTTCCATCACTGGCCCCTGGGTCCAGACCTGGTCTGGACAAGTCTTTGGGACTTCATACCTTTCCACTACAGCCCTTCCTGGACAAGCAATACGGACTGCCTGTGTCAAAAGTTTCCTAATCTTACGTCACACGACATGGTTTGTGAGCAGCCAGGGCACCTGGCAGAGTTCAAACAGAGCTGCTGGCTAAGCAAGAATTACTCAGAGCATTCTTAATGAAAGATCCACCAAGCCAAGGACTGTCATCAACTCTTCAGCTATTTTTGCTTTTGAGGACACAGTGGGTCTTTGACTTACAATTGTCTCCTCTCAAGCCTAGGCCAGGCTGGGCCCACTCTGCTTTGGGTTTCAATAACCACAGGGTCAACCTTTAACAGATCACGTTGCAGAACACTTCCAAAATCAAAGAGGAAAACAGACAACAAACAGGCTCCAGCTCTTGTCGCCTACCCTGTTCCTCCCGCCAGACCCGAGCCAAGCTTACTGTGAGCTGTCAGTCTGGATCTCTGTAGCTTCCTGTCTCAGGGCACCAGTGAGCACTGTGTACACAGCACGGATCAGGCTTACACCTGGTGCCCAGGTGGAGTGACTGCTGGAAAACTCCTCCTCCTCCTCAACTAAATCCTCCCACCTGGGCTTTCTGGGCCTATTTAATTAATTAAGTCAGCCCTAATGCTATTATCCGTTATTTACACCTCTTAACCAAATGTTTTCTTATTTCACATCCAGAAGGCAGGATTTGGTAGGAAAATAACCTATTTTGGCCGGGTGTGGTGGCTCATGCCTGTAATCTCAGCACTTTGGGAGGCCAAGGCAGGTGGATCACGAGGTCAGGAGATCGAGACCATCCTGGCCAACATGGTGAATCCCTGTCTCTCCTAAAAATACGAAAATTATCTGGATGTGGTGGCGCATGCCTGTTATCCCAGCTACTGGGAAGGCTGAAGCATGAGAATCGCTTGAACCCAGAAGGCAGAGGTTGCAGTGAGCCAAGATCGCGCCACTGCACTCCAGTCTGGCAACAGCGCAAGATTCCGTCTCAAAGAAAAAAAACTATC